GCTACCCCTCCCCACTTAGTGAAAGTCAAAATTAATTTCGATGAAGCTCAGAAATTCAAGTGGAACGAAATGAAATATTTATATGGTTTAGTAAAAAAATAATAACCTCAAATAACATTTCCGAACTTCTGAAAATGCAACTTGAGTCGAGAAGCCGAAATGTTCACACCTAGAGGACCCGTAGCGGGTTCATTTCAACTCACGTTGTGACCACGAGAAAGAGCATCAGAGGTGGCCCTAATGGTAAGCTGCACATTTGCGTTCGTCTTCAGTTGGTAGAAATTAATCATTGCTCCATTCCTGTACATTTCCTCGTGAGCTCTTCAACAAATAGTCCACATATCAATCATAGCGGCCAAGATGGTCTCAATAGAGTTTTTTTCGAGCTCCAATATTTCGGTTCGGACTTGAGGCTCGCTCGAACAGAAACAGCAATACCAATCCGTTCAGCGCAAGATGCAGACTGCAGACCGGGTACAAAATGTAGACTAGGTACAAAATGCCGACTGAGATTTTCAAAATTTTTTTTCGTCTGATACGTGATGACATGTCATCTTACAACTCACCGAGCGTCACGCAATCGCTTTTCCGCGATCATCTTTCACGATTATTTGCGCTATTGTGGAATATTCCTTGCCCGTTTCTTGATCACAATCGTTCTTACTATAATTTCAAACCTTTATATAGTCTTCTTTCTTTGCGCACGAGTTGTTTTGTGTGATGTCGGTTCAGAATGTACTAACTTATGAATATTTAACTAACTATTGAATATTTAACACGCGCAATATTCGATAAACAATTGACAGCTTGCACGTGGCCATACATTTCATCGTTTTAACCGATATGTGTTCATTTTGTTAACAAAAAATGCGGATTGAGACTAAAAAATTTCCTTCGACTTGTTATATTTTCAACGTTCATGGGTGTACACACACTGATTTTTCCATATGTGCCTTATATACATGAGGAACCAGCGAATTATTATAGGGAAAAGCATTTGTTTACTTTTCTGGTGGTCTTATCTCTCATCTGTTTGGTGATTACGCAAATATTAATATGTGGAAATCAGACCATATGAGGGCTTGAGATTCTGTTAAGAGCGATTGTGGCCGGTTTGTTAAAAACAAAGGATATCAAGAAACGGGAAAGGAATATTTCACAATAGTGCAAATGATCGTGAAAGATGAGGGTAACTAATATTTTGCGGCTAAAGCAATATTTGATGCCTGATTATGCCCACCAAGCCTACCCTCCGCCCCAAAAACACACACACTCACCAACAAAAAGGACACTGTCTGCCAAACGACCCCTGCCCATAGTACCTCCAGTACAAGCGCAAACGCACAAGTTTTCTTATAACA